TACTAATTTTTATGGTATTGTAATCTCTAACATGGAGATCATGAATATGAAAAATAAATAAATTTTAAAATTAGAAATAATAGTTCTAGTAAGAAAACATTTGGACCGTAAGTTTCCATTGTTTTTTAGATGGAACACGTACTTGCATCCATCTTTAAGATGGATGCTTTACATTTTTTTGACCCCATTTGTAGTCATGCGGTCCAGTGCGCATGAAACAATTTTCTATATAAATATTATTTATAGTTTTAAATTTATTTTTATTTTTATATTCATAATCTCCATGTTAAAGCTTATATATTCTTTAAAAATTAGTATCAATTTATATTTAAAAAATATATTTATTGCCAAGCCCGCATTTCTGCAATATGTGGGCTGACGGCATAAAAACCATATCCTAAAGACTATATATTGTTTAAAAATTAGGATCAAAACAAATTTTGAAAAGCATATTTATTAACCGTGTACAAAATAGAATTGGAGGGTTATGACTGACCTTCTGATCGTCCCCCCATCTCTAATATGAACATCATCCCCCGATCTCTAATATAAACCGACTTTTTCCTTGAGACCGATCGATGGCGACCACCTCTTCTCCCGGCGATGTGCTCGTATTTCCACCTGAGCATGCAGGGCTCAGCATTTAACGCACCTGACAAAAATATCCCCGCTGTCGCTCTCTACTTTACAACAATGTCCCTCCACCGTTGATGAAGTGAATTACGTGAAAAGATGCTCCAAAATAATTGACTATACCGACCTCCCTCGTCCATCAATTTTACAAAAATGCCCCCATATCCTTTAGAGAAATGAAAAGTTCGAAATGTCCATAGTTTTTGAAATCTTGGAGAAATTTTGTGGCCCTGAGATTTCGGTATCTTTCCATCCAGCATTCATGAGTTTTTTTTTAGCGGGTTTCTAAGTGTAAGGGTCCTGAGAAGAGGTCGTTTCGATGTCCAAAAATCTTTAAATTGATTATCTCGACCTTAAAATATATGAAAATGAGAAAAAATATATTTCAAGTCATAAAAATAATGCATCTTATAATGTATTTTTTAGACCATCAAGTTTTAGTATTTTTTAAGTGTTTATATATCTGTTTGATCTACATTTTTTTGGAGCTTTAAATTTAATAATTAGCCATAAAAATAAATTTTTAGGCTATCAAAGATTTTCAATACTAAGATAACGTTCTTTCATCATAATTTGAAATAGTACCTTACTTTGATTGTTTAAGGCCCCAATCTTATGAAAACCACACCTAGTACAAAAACATTGTATTCTGAACTACTAATTATGGCTGGTGTTTTGTTCACGAATACATCTGCTTTGAACTAATTGAGGGTATTTTGGCATCAAAGCTAAAAAAAACATGAACATAAAATCTAAAATTTAAAGTACCACATACATTTTTTTAATTTCATTAAAGCGATATTAATGTTATTTTTGAAAAGAGACAGAGACCCAATAAAAAAGGACCTAAGTCGGCATATAGGGTCATACGACATAATGATTGGGGTAGTTTAATAATGGGAAAATATCTACGTACCTCTTATTTTTAGCTTCTATTTTTCAAGAGACCTAATAATTTAAACTATTTCTTGCTGCATAAAGTCTCTATCTTTTTTTCCCCTAGACCCTTTTGACAATACATTATTGATCTAAACATTTTGTAAAATGACTACATCTCTGTCTCTCTCAAAACTCCATATCTCTCTCCCATCTCTCTCTCAAAACTCCATCTCTAACCTCTCTTATCCTCTCTTTCTCTCTTTTCTTTGGGCAAGAGGCAATAAAAAAGTAAATAATCTTCTTCAATACAAAACTAACCAGCGCCAAACTTCCTTCCAATTCAATCCATTCTCTCTCTTCTGACGCTCTACTATTTTTCTCTCTCTATATCTCTGTAACATCCACAAGCCCACTTTATCACAACACCAGCTGTATTGTCAAAGTCTGTAGAAGAAAGTCTTGTTTTATAGAGAAAGAGACTCTTGTTTTAGAGAGAGAAAACTCAAAGTCCATACAAGAAAGTCTTGTTTTAGAGAAAAAAACCTAGAGGGAGAAACACCCAATAAATTACAAGTTTCAAAGAGAGAGAACTCAATAAATTAAGGGAAAGGTTTTTATACTTTTCCTATGCTTTCTCTACCATCCAACCGTCCAATTTTGATCAAGAGAGCCACTCATCGTTTGATCTTAGATCCGACGTTTCAAAGTATTTTAGTTTTAGTTGTTTTTATACAAATTGTATGAATTTGAAATTTGGTATGTGCTATCTTCTCATTGGGGCATATCTATAAAAAATATTAAAAATAATTTTTCGATAAATATAATTACCAAAATACCCCCTGAATTTTTTAGGGGTATTTTTTTTATTTTATTTTATTGAAAATACTTTTTTTATATTTCTCACTAGTACGAGTTTAATAGAGGATTGAACATCCAAATTTGGTGTCAAAATAGTTTATAGAAAAAAATTAAAAATAAAATAATGTAGAAACGTGATATTGTGATTGGAGCAATCTCATCCCTCTATTTAGAATGGAGGATTGGATAAAAAGAAGTGTATAAGTTTTAGGCTGTAGGGGAAGCCTGGAGAGCTTGCCCATAAACTAATGAAACACTGTCCAAATTAGAAACCGGAAAGGGGGGAGAACCCATGAAAGGAACGGTTTCTGTGAGAGGAGCTAGAGAGTGAGGGATTTAAAGCTTTAGAGAGAAGAGAGAGAAAAACCCATAAAAAGCTTGAGAGAGAGAGAGTGTGTCCATTAAGGAAAGCAAGCAAAGTGTCATGTTTTCTGCAACAGAAAGAAAAGGGGGTTGGCTTTTAGAGGGTCTTGTCAAAGTGGGTCTCTCTCTCTTTATCTCCCTTTCTCTCTCTAAATGGGATGCACAAGCTTTAGAGAGACCTTATATGGAAGAGTAGTTGGAGAATCCATGGCCCCTGTCAACCGAAGCATGTCCATGCCTTTTCCTGGTCCAGTTCACCATCCCCCATCAAAGAAAGGGAAGAGTTACCACCTAATAGATTCTCTCTGAATTCTCACCACAAAGCCTAAGTAAAAGCACATTGTTTTTGAGAGGAAGAGAGGGAAGAGAGATATGAAGTTTTGAGAGAGATAGAGATGGAGTTATTTTATAAAATATTTAGATCAATAATGTATGGTCGGTCTAGAAGGCAGAAAGATAGAAAAGATAAAGAC